GCACACGCGGACTTGCAAGTATTTCAACAAGCATGTAAAATGTTTGGTGCTTTCATACGCTACGGACAGACGGTACGCCGAAATGGACTGTTGTTGAATGAATTGTGAAAATGTTGGATAGAACAATGTAAAAAGCACGCTTTCGCATAATGGCGAAAATCGCTATGGTAAAGAAAAAAATATTGTATTCGAAAAGGGAAAATTAAGCACTTTTTAAAAACATCCAACGAAAAAAAGTACCTTTAAAGGCTTTTAAAAAATGAAAATAATCACCTTTTAAAAGCACTATGCACCATGATAATGAATCTGAAAGACGGGGCACCGCAAACTTATACTTTTGATTGACGGATAATTCAAATTTTGCCAAATGAAATTTCGAAATTGACAGTAAAGTTGATGTAATTCATTATATCCAATAAGAGAAAAAAAACTTTTTTTGATAATTATTTTCACAATATGTTAATTTTATCCACCAATATTTTACTGATTTACCAACTTTATAGTTATATTCTAGTCAATAAGCTGTGATTGGTCAATGGGCAAAGCATCAAACTGTTGTGAAGAATGTAAGTGCCATGCCAGATCTGAAACCCACCCAGTTTCAGAGTTTAAAACAAAAGGAAATATCGATTTGAAATAAAAAGCTTACTGAACTTATTTAAAATATATTTGTTGAATTTAAAAAGTGAATAACAAAGTAGATACAGATACAGTAAACTTGACTTTATGCCTAATTTTTCCAGTTAATACATATAATAATAATTCAATAAATAAAATCAGCGTATAAACAGATAAAATTAAAAGTATTATTTTAAAACTACTATTTATAATTCAGTTCGAAATGTTAAATTTTCTTTCTTGCAGCATCAAAGGGGTTTTGTAAGAGCCTCATTGCCACTCTTAGTTAATACCCCAATTTTTATGCCGTGAATTTTTTTTTTGTATTTTACTTACATTAAGGGCTAAGCCCTCTGCTATTTATTGCTCCCCAATCCTCATAGCTTTACAATTAAATTTCTTCAAATAAATAAAAAATTAAAGCAAGAGAATGCCTGCCAACATTGGAGAAATAAAATAACGGAGATTTTACTAACGACATTTTTAAGGCTACAAGTAAGGTTTTGATACATCATGCATGATAATATAAATCAAAAAGAGAAATTCAATGTCAGAAATAATATAAGTGTTTACAAATAGTGAAAAAAAATATGTATATAAATCTTAATTTAAAGATTTTTTTAAAATCATTATTTATAATTACTTTATAAACACTCAACGTACAGCAGTATTGTCAATAGCACCATCTGTAGAGGAATAAGAGAAGTATTTTTGCCATCAGCGGATATTAAATAGCCCATTTTTTTTTTTTTTAATTTCTTCAACAAATACAGANATTTTTTTTTTTTTAAATTTCTTCAACAAATACAAGAAATTCGAGAATATATGGGTAAACAGGAGTAAGTCGTAAAATACAGGACTCTTCGGTAAAAAACAGGCGACTTTTCAGGTATGCAAGGGGCATTGTTCATAATTTTATTTGTGTTTCCTACATAAAATACGAGAAAATGAATTTTTTTGTAAATATGCCGAATGGCTAAGCAAAATTTGTCAAATGGTGAAAATGTTTGGGAGGTCACAGCAACCTACCCTTCCGCCATCTTTGCTAAAAGAAACTGATATTTGTGAGGAAATAGCCACAGTGGAAAAGAATGTTTTACTATTTAATGATTAGGAAGGATCAAAAATATTAAAAGAGGCTAGAACATATGGAAATATATTCGAAAAGGAAGACGATGAAAAGAATTCATGGAGAATTCAGAAAAAAATAAAATTAAATTGAAACAAAAAGATATTGACATTGTTTAAAATAAATGTTTTTTTAAAAAAGTAAATCCATGTTATACAACTTCTAAATAGTCAATGCAGTTATTATTTTGACTCAATTGTTAAAAAAATACATGATATTTGATTTTCAATATCCCGAAACCATGTCTCCATCAGAACTTGCAAGGTCGAGCTTTGACTGTATATTTATTTGAAAGTTTAAGAATGTGCTTTTTTTTCCTTTTTTTTTAAAAAACTTCTTCACAGTATTTATCTTTCCACACAGATTTACTTCACTGTTTAAACAAAATATTAACTAAGCAAAAGTGAATTAATCACTAAAAATTAAATTTACAAATTATACATCTGAAAGAAAAAATTATACCCTAATGAAGAAAATTCAGACACTTGATAACTTAATCTTATTTTGACTACAATCAAATAAAACTATAAAACTTTAACAGAATTTAGAATTTTTACATTTTATTAAGTGTATAATTTTATTTTATGACTGTTTTTTTATAAAATAAAACATTGAACTTAGAAAAATCACAGTAATTTAAATGTCATCAAAAAATTTATTCTACAAAATATTACTCCATTAATTATCACTTAAAATTTATCAAAAAAAATCTGAAATGACAATATTAAACTAGCCATTAGCATGAAATAGCAATATATTTATTTATTTTATTATGACATATTGTCTGGTCTACACAAAATACAATGCCAATATGCACATTGTAATTGGAATAGAAAAGCGGCGGAATTGAAAGCTTGATTTTATATTTTTAGTTAAAGTAGAATTATTATCAAGATTGAAAAAAGTTAAGTTAAGAGTTCAGTTCAGTTAACAGCAGTTAATTCCATTCATGGCAGCAACAAAACACAAGATTTTAACCTTAATGATTATGAAAACTGATTATCATTCATTACAATCATGATACTATAGCATTGCTAATATACACTTTTAATTCTATTTGCAATAAATTCTAAGCAAGAAAAACTAAATTTAAAATTTTTTTTCTTTAATTTTGATTTTTTCTCTCCATTCATTTATTCATATTTTTTTACATTTTTGATGAAACTATTGTTTGACCACAATGTGAAGAGAGACATGAAGAAGAAGAGATTATTTTGATGTGATTACTTTATAACAATACAATAGGGTATTTAAGAAACTATTAGAAAGTTTAAAAAAAAAACAATAATAATAATATTTATAATAAAAAACTAATTTTAAAAAAAAATTTTAAGTTAATAAAAAATAAAATTAAAAGCAAAAGTTTTAACAAAAGCTTTATAAAACTCTTTCAGTTTTTGAGTAGTTAAACTCTTTCAGTTTTTGAGAAGTTAACTTTTATCTTTAACCTCCTCAAATAATTTTTAAAAAAAATTATTTTTATGTTTTAGTTCTTTTAGAGTTTTAACTTATTTTCTAAATGCATTATTAAGGCAAAATATAAAAAGGGGTCTGTCTAGGTTTTTTTAAGAGGTACTTACTTATTATGTGAAAATTTAGATATAATTTGTGAATATTAAAAATTATATTAAAAGTTCAACACAAAAATATGGTAAAATAAGAAAATACTTTCAAAAATTGTCACTACAAATAAAAGTCATTTATGACTGGTAAATTTCTATATATATTTTTCCCAAATGTTCAAAAACAGTTTTGCTATTGTAAAATTTTGGGCCTGAAATTGTATCCAAATTTAAAAAGCCATAAAAATCATTGCCCATAGTTAAATTTTAACTTGAATTTAATAATAGCATACATTCAACAGTACTAGAACTAAAACTTATCTTCATAATGAGAAGATTTTCAACTGGGTCAGACAAAAAAAAATTTCATAAAAAAAATAAAGGTCTATTAGAATAAATTTAGAATAATGTTTAAAATAATAGTTCGAATTTCGACTTCCTGTAAACTTTACAGAGGGTCAGCCTTGTCATTCCATTTTTTTTTTTTTTTTTAAAAAAGGCTTGCTTTAATATGGCGTAAGTGACGGGTTAGGCTTACCACACCGCACTAACTGACGAAACATGTGCTACCTATTTGTTGAAGAGCACCTTTTACACGGTAAAACTCTAATGAAAGCACTTCAATGAAACTAATTTTTCATTCAAGTGCTCTGCCTAAATAATAATTTAAAAATGCTTCAATAACTATAACTCGTTTTTTAAAAAATTCTGTAAGATAAAGTAGAAAACAAGGTTTTTGAATTTTCAATAACACGTATATATATATATATATATATATATATATACACAGTACAGAACCCGTTATCCGGAAATCAGAAAACCGGAAAACCAAAAAACCGGAACGAAATTTGGTAAATTTTCCCGCCATTTAAAAAAAAAAATTTTTTTTCCTCGTAAAATTTTAGGATTTTTCTTTTTTGAAAGATGTTTACCTTACCATCATTTTGGAAATAATCATTAGTGCATTACTTCATTTTTTTTCTTCCTTTTAAGATTATTTCCAAATATTATAATTTTTTTTAGTTGCTTTTAACAATAAAAAAAACGGCTTTTTGTAGCGATTCAGAAAACCGGAAAAATCAGTTATCCGGAATAGCGATGGTCCCGATCGTTCCGGATAATCGGTTCCCTACTGTATATATATATATATATATTCATTTTCATAGAATAAACAAAAAACTTTCCCAAATATCACAGACGTAAAAAAGTAATTGGAACACAGGTTTCTTGAACTTTTTGCACCATTCTTACAATTTCTATGTAACATGAACATTTTCGATTGTATCGAGCCTAAAATGATCTTCCATTTCAGATAAGGCACAAATATAAAAAGATTTGAAAGGTCACCCCCTGAATGCAAGTGTAGTAAAAATGAGTTGTAATATAAAATTGATTTGAAACATATAATGTAATTTTAATTGTTGAATTTCACTAGATAAAAAATTAGCATAACTTTTTGTACATATAAATAAACGTACTAATAAATTATTTCAAAGTGTTACTTTAATTTCAATTATTATTATGAATAAACTATATAATGCTTTAACTCTATTGTTATTAATGCATCTTTCTTTAAGATATGAAAAAAGGTGAATAACTTTAATGATTAACTTTTAAATAAAAGAGAAAAAAAATTAAGAATGATTTAAAAGAATATATTAAATTACTAAATATGTTTAAAATGCACTCACTAACTGCTTTCGGTAATTCTCTTCTTTTTCCTCAATTGTCCAGTTACATGTCCAGTGGACAGTACAAATACTATTTTCAAGCTCTCTTAACCATTTCCTCAGACTAGACATACGATATGTAATTTCTGTAACAGAAATACAAGCTACATTTATAAAGATTCTGATACATAATTCAAGATTCATTTATCCACAAAAATATGAAATTTGAGCATTATAAAATGCCATATTACATTATCATTGTGTTTAAAAACGTTACGTGAATTAATTCTTATAACATAACAATAAATAAGAATATAGAAAAACCTGGAGATGGGATTTACTTCACAAATGTTATATGATTAAACGTATTTAAATAACTGTCAAATTTATTGTTGCCGAAAACGACGAACACAAATATTTTACCAGAACAAAGTCTTAACAAGATAATAAAACAAATGAAATTTTATAAGATATTTTAATATGAATATTTTCCGGAATATTTAAGCAAACTACAAAGTAAAATTCTGGAAACATAAAAAACAGAAATTTAGTTAAAATTTAAAATGGCATCCAAAATAGTTGATAAAAATCTAGAAAAATTCAGACAAAATTTAAAGCTCTTGCAACATAAAATGTGCAGCAAAAATTTATCACACAAGTCTAATTTCAAGTAAAAGATAGTTATTCAGTAATTTCAAGTCTAATAATTGTTTTTCAATTACTCCATCGGACATGAAAAAAATTATTGCAACGTGGGAGTGCACAATCTGGCGTCAAATGCAGCAATCAAATTGTCAAAGCGTGTCCTCCTGCCTCTGCCTTACCACAAGATTCAACAAGTCAAAAGGAAAGGGGGACTTTTCTTAAGAGAAATTTTCTTTTCTTCCGCAAAAAACATTTTAAAACAAGTGGCTTATTTAAAAATTAAAGAGTAATGCAATTTATATACAATAAATAATAGGTAATAAATTTTTCTGCAGATTAACTTAAAAACTTGCTATAATTTGATTTTTCTAAAAAGAACAAGGATTTCAAATTTATAATTGCTTTCTAAATTTGAAAATAACCCACATAAATTTCGAAAATATCGTATAAAAATTGCTGTAATTTTCTTTTTTTTAAAAAACAAGTTGGGATTATTATTAGACTAAGAAATAATTGAATAAATACTTATTAATATAAAAACTAAATTAATCTTATTGAGAAAAACAAAGGATTTATTTCTGCATTCTATATCTAACCATTTAACATACTTACCATCAAAAATGTTGTCTTTCGTTGGTGACTTCACATTATTGGGTTTAATGGACTGCTCAACAGCTTTCCATTTATTGTTCAAAATATTTAGTCGTCTTTGTACTTCATCCCTCATTTCTGGGTAACGTTTACTCAATTTCTGTGCTTGTTCATTGAATAGCTTGCAATAGTAGGTTATATTCTGTTGTTTTTCCAATAATTCCTGCAATAAATAATTGAAATTAAGAAAAAAATCCTTCATTGGCCTAAATGTAAAATAAATAAAAAATTGAGAAGAGTATTTTTTGGTATTAAGATGAATAAACATCATCTCATTTAAAGATAAATTATTTTGAATGTAATTAAATTATAAAATTTTTATGCAAATTTACTTTAAATACATAACCTGTATAGCAATCTTTTTAATAATATTTTTGCACCAAAATTAGGAAACTTTATTAAAAAAATATTCAATAGCAAATTAATAATTATTGCAAAAAAATTTATTGCAAATTAAAAGTCTAATTAAACCAACAATAATGAAATAAAATTAAAATTTTAAAAGCTACATTTCTCAATTGAAATTTTTTTTTTTATAAAAATGAAAAATTTTTTTTAATTTCATTGCACTAAACATTACTTTTGAAAGAGAGTGAACTTTCTATGACGATTGAAACTTATTACAAATGTGATGTGCATTATATTATTTGTGTTATGTCGAACAAAAATGAAAATGCTTTTCTTTTTAATTCTAAACTACTTAAAATCATAGTTTTAAAATTTTATTTCTATTTTATTATTTTCTTCTTTTAAGGTAAGTAACAAAGTAAATTTTAAATTGATTCTCTCTATATAGACAAGTACATGCTTTATGGCACGACCTTTGTTAATCATACTTTTACAAATTATTTAAAATAATACGAGCTAATATCTCCCTCATGCACCACAGACACTAAATTTTTTATGGATTAAGTCATTTTTTAATTTTATATACTTGCATTATCCCCCACCTCCTCAATTAAGAGGAATTTAAAAAACAAATCTAAGAAAAGAAAATATAATAAAAGAAAAAAAATATTTCTGTCGACAAAAATTTAACTAAACATAAAATGCTTAATTTTGAAGCCTCATTTTACTTACTGCTAATTAATACTAATTATTCAAAAATAGATAAATACAGTTTACATTTCTACAGAGTTCATTTTTTCTTTTCCTTATTTAAAATCAGAAGCTAAAAATATAGTGACAGTTCAGTCATCAGGTGACATTTTCTAATAATCAGGTAATGTTTTCTAATAACTAGAGAGAGTATAATTGAAAATGTTAATATAACAATATTATTTAACACCTATATTTAATACCAAATGAAAAACTAAAAATAGGTATATTAAACTGTTTGATAATTAAGAAGTAATTAACAAACAGTTAAATTTGAAGTCTTTTCGGCATAAGTCGTTTTTATTAATCGAATTTTATACGCCGCATCACAATTCTAAGGTAATTTTTCTTATATAATAATAAATAGTGCAATTGCAAAAACAAATTTGTTTTTACCTATTAAAAGTAGTTTAATATGACTTTAAAACATAAAATTAAAAGCAATAAAGCAGCTAATAAATGCTAATTTTTTACACACTATATCAAATTTCGAAAAACAATAAAGAGCCTTATTTTTTTATTTAAACTGATATTTAAAATTAGTAACATATTGACAAACAATAAAATTCTACACAATATTTGAATCTTAACAAATATAATTAATTTATACAAAGAAAAACATTCAATAATTTTGATCACATAATGATTTGTAACAAAATAAAAATAGCAGTAAGTTACAGAATATAAAATGTTGTGAAAAGCCCAAAAAAGATAAAATTGCTCTCATGAATAAAACAAATCAAAGCAGAAAAACTTAAAATACATTCAATAAGTACCTCATCACTGTTTTGATTGGTGTCTTCTTTTATTTGCAGATCATGTAGAATATCATGCAAAGCTTTGAATTGTTCTATAAATTCTTTAAAACTCCAACAAGCACTTTCAGATATTTCACTGTCATCATCAACTGAAAGATCACTGCTGGCTTCCTATTTATGAAATGGGTTAATTTGAATTAGCTAACACATACAAATAACTTTTCAGGGCTTGAAATATTTTATTTATTTATTTATTCAGGATGCGTAACCAAATCATTCAACAAAAAATAAGCACCTTTAAAGTACTTTTTAAGCACTATATACATTATCAAAATGCAAAATAGTTTTTAAAGACTTTACATAATCATGATAAATAACTAGTCACTGATATAGAACTCTTTTCTTGATTATATTAGCCACCATAAAAAGATCCAGAGATTTTTCAGTTCGATTTCAGAAGGGGGAAAATGAAGCCTGAAATTCATAATATCTTGCAAAATGCAGCAGAGTTGCACATGAGAGTGCAAGAAATCTCATTTTCGAAAAGGGAAAATTAAGCACTTTTTAAAAAAGCTATGCACCATGTTATTTATTTTATTGGGAGCAAGAAAACAAAACAAAAAGAATTTTTCTTTAAATCCCAGAATTACTTAAGTTAGTCATATTTCTTCGATACATATTTCTAAATTTCATTCATTTTGATTGCATGAAAAAAAAAAAGAATTTTAAAAATTCATTCTAAGAATATAAAAAAATTATCTAATTAGAGCTTTGAAAATTATTAATTAAAAGTATTTACCTAAACATTTTTTTTTAAAGCTAAGTACAAAACTAAATTCTGACAAAAAATTTTCGAATCCAGCAATTGAACATATAATTATATATAACCGTTTTATTTAAAAAATATAGCCATATATATCTGTATTTACTGGTGGTCACACTCAATAATAGTTTTGTATGTAGGACTCTTCACAAAAATAAAACACCAGCAGGCTGTCATACCATTAAAGAAGAAAGTAAAAACTTAGGCAGAAATATAATCAACAGTCTTTTTCAAATTACCTCCAAAAAATAAAATAAAAAAGTCATATTTAAGTGTTAACTCCAAACAAAGCTAAAATTACAAAGTATTTATACTACCATACCATAAGGATTCATAATGTCCATAAGTACAATCAGACAGTTTAAATATTTAAAAAAAATATCAAACTTTTTTAAAACCGTCCATTAGGCAATATTTTTTGCTTTGAAGATAATCATTGAAATCAGTAAATAATTCTTCTTATAAGGGCATTTTTATGAGTGCATATAAATGTTGACATTTTGCATCATTTTCACAATTAGCATAAAAGTGCTTATGCTTAAAATAACCAAAACATAAGCTCACAGTCATGAATAACAGTTAAAAACTCACAAAATTTATAAAAATAGCAATTTACGAAGGCTGTTTATTAAGTAAGTCCCGTTTGAAAATAAAACCAAACAAAAGAAAATTTTCGTGAAGCAAATTTATATTTTGATTCTACATGCGTTTCTCTTTTTTTCAAAATAATTTCCAAGGATGCTTAAACACTTATCATAACTAACAACTAGATTAACTTCATAATAACTTGCTGTCACGACTGATAACCAAGAAGTCACGATCGTTTTCACATCTTCGTTCTACTGGTTGCAGCCAAAATTATGTGTGGAACGATCTGGGCTGTATTAAGGGGTGGTCCAAAACTTCTCTGCCAAAAAGAGTTCAATAAAGCTCGGGACTCAGCTGTAGCTCATTGAAATTGAGTAAAAAAAATTTCATGTCAGCATGCCACTAGGAAGCTTCGTAAACTGCCAGTGAATGTATCTAGTAGACAGGCTTTTTACCGACTAAGAACACATCACTGACCGTACCTGAAACGCAGCAGACCATTTGTTAAACTTGAACATTTTAAAGATAGAGAACTGACAGCACAGTTGTTCCCAAAGAATGTCAGGACGCCATACAAGCACCCGTTATGATACAAACATCACATATTAATGTAAGCAACAAAACAGCTCTTACTTAAAAAACAGTATTCAATAAATTTTTTTACTTCAAGCAGCATTAGTCTAAAAAAAAAGGTTTAAAATTTAAGATAATACACAAATACACATTAATAATCAATAGAATACATACTCTGCAGGTATTTATTAAACCATCATCCATCAAATAATCATAATTCGAACTGAGTGCATCCCAAAATTCATCTCTAGAGCTGGCACTGTATCTTAAAAGACTTTCCTTGTCCATAAGGGGAGAGTTTTCAACAGAGGAAAAAGCAGAACGGACTTTTTTCTCAATTTTACCTCCTTCCATTATGTGACTGTCTACAGAAAAATAAATTTATAACATTAGAAAATAAACAACACAATAAACGTATTTTGACATTATACAAGTTAATCATATGCATTGTTGTAATTAATTCCTTTAATTAATTTCCTATTAAAATTAATAAGTAAATTAATTTCCTTTTATTTCAATTTTAAAAGCACAGAAAAAATTAGATCTAATAAAAAAATTTCTGTAAATACTTAATATTTTCAAAGCATTATTTATTTTCAAATTTTTACGTCATTTAAAAACAGGTGTGCTTGGATCTCAACACTACCATCCCTAAGTTTATCATTATTTGGGAAATTTTGTTTGGTCATTCAAAATACAGTACAGAACCCGTTATCCAGAAATCAGTAAACCGGAACAAAATTCGATAAATTTTCCCGTCATTTAAAAAAAAAAAAATTTCCTCATAAGATTTTTCTTTTTTTTTGAAAGATGTTTACCTTACCATCATTTTGGAAATAATCATTAGTGTATTACTCCATATTTTTTTCTTCTTTTTAAGATTTCCAAAAAAAATTTTTTTTTAGTTGGGTTTAATAATAAATAAACGGCTTTTTGTGGCGATTCAGAAAACCGGAAAAATTAGTTATCCGGCATAGCGATGGTCTCGTTCATTCTGGATAATCGGTTCCCTACTGTATTTATAAAATTTTATTTCGCTCTTTAAAAAAAAATAATAACGCACAAATGAGACAATATTAAATTAATATTGGACAATATTACATTTTTATTTAACCTTTCTTTAAAACGATTTTAAAAATGCACAAATATGATGTCATATATCCATTTTTAATGTCTGCAAGTTTAAAATGCTTTTAGTGCCCTTGATGATTATAGTTGGCACAAACATTACACAGTCACAATAAGTTTTTGGATGGGTGGAAAGCTTAGCAGAAGAGTTCACTTCTTATAGTTGAAGAAATTTAAAGAGTGAAAAATATGAGGTATTTCGTTTAGCAAAAACTTCAAAAGGCATAACATTCCAATTCTTTTGTTCACTGTGATCAAAAACTCCTTATATAATTTAGATTATATTATTCTTTTCTTTTCCACAATACACTAAATAAGCTATATTCACTTCCCAGATTTTCCCTTAGTCTTTCGCTTCTACTTCCTTGCGTTGCGTTAATACGTAAGTACCTAATAAAATAAACTCTACCAGTTCGCCTTAGGCCCCCGCTAACTTGTTAATAGTAAATAAATTTACAAATTATATCACTCAACTATGAAGCTCACATTTATACAAATTCATGCTAATGTGGATTAACTTACTTGATACTATTCCTCATATATCAGAAAAATTCTGACTAAAATCATTTAAAAATACTACCAGTTATATTTAGTGAAGTTCTTGATGGCCTCTATAATGTAAAACTATTATTAATGCAATAAACTTTTGTTAGAATGCATGCTTACCTAAATCATCTTTTGACAATTCCATTTCTATATAAAAAGTGACAAATGATAAAAATCAATTCTTGATGAACCTGGCATCTCAGATGTAGATCTCAATACAGGAACTCTATACAACAATTTATAATAAATATTACCCTTAATAATTTATATATTAAATATTTACAATTGGGTGTATTTCATGTTTTGACAATTTTTAAATTTCATACAAAACAATAGAAAAATCACTTAAAAGTGAGATTTCAAAATGAGAATTCAAGATTGAAATCACAGGAAAATGAGGCGACAAATCCAAGATACGTAATTCTGTATTCTAAACCTTTGTTTTATGAAATATATTTATACGAGGACAATTTTATATAATGCGTGTGAAAGTTTTTAAAAGATCTTTGATTAAATAAAATATTCAGAAATATATACGCTGAACGTTTATTTCTTTAAATATAACAATAATGAATTGGTTTTAACACTACAAATAGTGGTTTTTAATTACAATAAAAAAACACTTCTGTTATTAATTCGTGAATAGCAGGAAATTACATTTTTTAAATTTAATATTTGAAAAACAGCCTGATAACCAATTAATTTTTCCTTCTTATCTTAAAAACTATTATTAACAATCTTTATTTTTAAAGATATTAATAATTTATTTATCTTACGGCAAGCTCCAATGGTGAGATAAATTTAAATTTGTTGAATAATAATGCTCATTATGAAAATATTTTACATAATAATTTTAATCTGATAATATTACAGACATAAAAAAATTCTTTTAAATTTTAACGAATGTTTAAAAATGAAACAAAAAAAAATTACGGTATGTTTTGTTTGTCTGTGTTAATATCATAACAATACAATAATTTTTAACATGAAAAATAGTTTAATAGGAAAGACACAGTAGGAAAAAAGAATGTTGTAACGAAAATAAAATATAATTTACAATTTATTAAAAATTAAATAAAAACAATTAATTTATTACTTTATTACTTCAGTGAGCCAGGAACGTTTTTAATTTTTTTTTTTTTTCCACAACGGAAACATTATTTATCGCTGCCATTAATCATAAAATTTACGAAGAAAAACTCAAAAATCGTAATAGCAGCAGTAGCCGGGAAACTTTATGAAGCATTCTCACTGCATAAGTTTGGCAATGTCTAATTGATTCATCTCGAGCAGTACCTCTAATGGACCATTCTCGCTGATAGCGATCGGATCTCGAATTGTCATACTCCCCAATTCACGGACCCACGACATGGAAATTTCCATCTCTGAAGAGTCACGGATAGAGTGGATTATTGGCGATCGCAACACTCGAATACACCATCTGGGGAGATACCGTTTTCATGCATTTAGCCCTTCTCCCATCCCTCTCCTCCTCTTTTTAGTTGTATAGGAATGTACTACGATATTTTCCCTTTTCTTAATATTTTTCCTTTTTATTTAATAAAAATATTTTTTAAAATTTGCGTGATACTTTTCTTCAGAACTATGTTTAATGTAGTTTGAAGTTCCATATAGTTTTCCAACTTAAAAGATTTTAATCTATATGAAAATCAAGAAAGAAACTAATGTACTTCCTTCCTCTATGACTTTCCGCACGCTAATGGGGAAAGCATGTGAAGTGTTGCCATAGGTGAAGAGCTCTGCTCTACGCCACCTGCAGCCCATTTCGATCGCCAATATTTTAAAGACATTTTTTATGGGGGAAAAGCATTAAAAATAATTTGTCCGGTTAAAAACACAAAAGGGTATCACTCCGAGCAAAAGAATACATTAATCTTTCACAGACGATAGTAATATTTTATTTCCTTTTTTTCGTCAGTTATTTTAATAAACTACTTTAAAAGTGATAGTTATCTTAGATTAATTTGTTATAAAATATTGGGAAGGGGATTGTTAAATTTTCTCCAATTTCTAATTAGTAGTAGGCGATAAATTTCTAATAATTAATGTGTATGCTTTATAAGAGAAATTTATTTTAAAATAATGAAAAACAGCATTTTCACAGTCTTTAGAGAACAAATCAATAATCTATTTCATTCTTTCTATCTTTTTTTATGATTAATTTTGATTATCTGCTTTCTACAATCAAGGAAAGTATAATGATACAGCTAAAATATTAATATTCTGAAAATTAGATTTTTTTCATTGTCTATAATAAATTATTTACAAAGGAAGAAAACCATAATCAGAATTCTTATTTTTTTATTTCATTCATTGAAGGAAGTAAAAAAAAAAAAACTGATGGCTTTTACGCGAAACTAAGACATTTAATAAAAAGTATAGGTTTTATAAAACATGTAGAAATTTGTAATAAATTTTTAAAATCCTATCAAAAATAAAACGATTGCACATTGAAAGCTGTGAACCCAAATGTGTTAATTATTTAGTGCAGACGATATTTTAAGTTACGAATTTAGACACAAAAAGTAGTTTCTCTGAGAAAACACGATTTTTTTTATGTATTCGGATTATTAAGGAGATATGGTCCCATATAGGGGGGAGGGGATATGGTCCCAATAGTTTGGTCAGGAGAGCGGTCCTACGTTTGATCCCTTAAATGTTAATTTTACCCTTTGCAGATTTCTTCACTTCTTAAGCCAATTGACACATTATTGACACAATTACACATTTAAAAAATTCGTTTAGTTCGAGATAATGCGATGCAAAATACAACTTTTAGTAAATATTCATTATTTTTTATTTAATAATCGCGAAAAAAAAAATGAATTATAGGGTGTACAATTTTTATATCATTTTATCAAATGTAATTTTGCAGGACAAACTACAACATTTGAACGAAATCGGTTTAATAGTTTCTGAGAATTCAAACTTTATATATACATTCTTTTTTTCAATTTTTAAAATTTGATTTTTCAGGAACAATTCGCTCCAATTTTGTACATTTCAATACATAAAATTATATTCTATAAAATGATGTAAAAATTTTATAACTTACAATTCAAAATGTTTTTGGCTATAATTTTTTATTAGTAAATTTATAAATGGTACATTTTTTTTTAACAATGTAATTTTAGGTGAAAAAAAGAATTCAAAATTTAAAACTTTTGCAATAAATAAAAATTTTGAAATTTTATTATTTAGATTCTACAGAGCAGATTTTGTTTTCATAATAAAATTATGTAACAATTTAAATGTTTTATAAATTAAAAATAATTGAACGAAATAATAAAAAGAATATATAATCTTAAAAATTATATTTCCCACGAAATAACTTTTAACTAAACAAGTTCTACATTCTTTGCATAATTTTTTTGTTTATTTTATACAATATATAGTTCCAAAGGTACAGTGCATTTAGTAAAGATTTAAATTAACTTTTAAAAGTGGTTTAAACATTCGAAGGAGCGCCTTTGTCTAGGGTCTCTATTAGAGAGTTCGATTTTTTTTGAAAATTATTTCTCTTAAAAACGCTAAAATTAAGAAAATGTAATTTTATATCATATTGATGAAATAAAAAAGAAGGCAGTAGTCTTCCCTATTTTTAAAGCACTGCACAAAAAGTTTCATATAAATCAAACAAAAGAATAGAATTAGAAAATAAGATTTAAAAAACTTTTAGAGAATTAAACACTGACTTCTTTTAATCTAATTTTGACTACATAAAAATTATACCATTATGAAATTTGAAGGAAATAAAAAAACTTACTTGCTTTTTGGAGTGAAATTAAAAATCAGATTTTTTTTAATAATACAAGTGAAAAATCTGTGGTCCTAAGCCAGTGTTTCCCAAAGTGTGGTACGCGTACCCCCAGGGGTACGGGAACAGTTTAGAGGGGGTACGCGTTCTTATGCGAAATATCTTGCAACAAACGAAAATTTCAAAATATTTTATTTAAAAACAAAGCTACCCATAAAAATTTAAGATTAAGTATTTTTCTATTCGCTATTTTTTGCAGAGTTGACAGCTAATAATTAGTGGTGTCAACAGCCAGTTGTGATTTTTAATTTTTGTGCAATTTTTTTATTGTAAAAAATACATTTATTTTTTATTAGTGGTACACAGCGTTACGAAAATTTTAGAAAGGGTACACAAAAGTCATAAGTTTGGGATACACTGTATATCTAAAATAGAGTTGCGTAAAGCAATCCATTTTCCTGTGGACACCACAAAAGAATATATTAAGGGATCTCGCTATGATCTGTTTAAATGCTAAAAATCTATGATCTGTTAAAAAAGTTTAGCCCCTTTTGCCTCTTTTTTTTAAAAAAAATAATCTTATTTTGAGATATAATACTCATGTGTTCTGATTTCAGTGTTAATTTTGTTCATCTGTATGCAGTGAGATTAACAGAATTCATAGTAGTACTTTCTTAAAATGTGGTAATTTTATCTTTTCTTTTAGCATTTAAAGCTTTAATCTCAAAACTTCCAACATTAGACAGAAAAAAAAGTGTTTTTTATTCTATATTTCAGGGAATTTTTTTAAAAATAGATATTTTCAATTGTTATCTCCTTTTCAGGCTTTAATCTGCTATCCAAAAGGACCAGGCATTAGTCCACTAAAGACTTATTGATAAATAAAAGGTCATTCCATTATCTAAATCAGTGTCTCCAAAACTTATGACTTTTGTGTACCCGTTCTAAATTTTTCGTAATGCTGTGTAACACTAATAAAAAAATGAATGTATTTTTTACTATAAAAATATTGCACAAAAGTTAAAAATCACAACTGGCTGTGGACAGCACTCTGCAAGAAATAGCCTATAGAAAAATAAGTAATCGCAAATTTTCATGGCTAGCTTTGCTTTTAAATAAAATTTTTTGAAATTTTTGTTTGTTGCAAGATATGTTGCAAAAGAACCCATACCCCTGAGAGTACATGTACCACACTTTGGGAAACACTGATCTAAATATATATTTATTGCTAATCACACAGATTGCCAAAAAATTAACATTTTAAAATTGTGAAAGAAAAAGGAAATATAAAAACAAATTGTTCCAACCATTAGATATTTCATAAGAATATACATGATACATATTAATATACAATGATATATGATATTGTAAAATATAGTATTTGCAATACCAATAAGTACATAGTTAAATTCTGTAAATTCCAAAATTTAAAAATAATAATTCCTCAGACATTGAGAAATTTTTCATTTACAAGTAGTCGATAGTTTACATGCCTGTTTTGCCATTCTTATGCCATAATTGATAATTAATGCAATTTTTCACGGATATTGTACACAATTTATCTTATGTCGAAAGCTGTTATATGGTGAATTGTTTGTTTACTTGCCAACCAGAGTAAACAAAGTTTTTTACGAGACAGACGGAGTTTAAAACTAAACTTTTAATAAAAAGTAATTCAAATAATGTATTAAAAAAAAGAGTACCTAGAGATTGGTTTTTTTGAAAGCATGATTTTTTAAATTTTTTTTTGCTGAGAAAATTGCATAATAACTTCTTCTTTAACAACAACCAGGTTATGATTTCATCTTTTAAGACCAGTAGCAATGTTGTACACAGTATTATGAAAAATATGAGTATATGAGGAATTGAACCTCCCATCAGATTATGGTAGGCAAAGATTGAACCCACTACACAAACTGAGTCACAAGTGTTTAGAATACTTGAATTGTGTGGAATTTAAGAATGTACTGAAAGTATGAATGCAGTCAGAGAAAATGTCAAAATCTAAAATTCAATGCCTTACGAGAAGAGAAATGTCACAAATGTACTTGATCTACGTGTTCAAGCATACTATCTTTCACAGCATAACCTTTTTTGCAATATCGGCACATATATTTATAGTGTACTTTTTCGTGATCTCGAAGTTTTTTTACAGTATGAAAACTAGATTCACATCTTGGATATTTGCAGGGATAACGCTCAATTTCTGGGTGATAAGATTTCATATGAAAAATATAACTTTGATATTGTTTAAATCTTTCATCACAAATGACGCACTTCTGCACTACTGAAGAATGTACTAAACGTATATGATTAGTAAGTTGGAGATCTGTCTTAAATGAAGTCCCACATTTCTTACAGGTGGCTCTTTTTACTTCTTCTTTCGAGGCATTCAAACGCCTATTTCCTTGCAAATAGTTGTTTACACTTGAATCACTATCACTAGAGTTACTTTTCGTAGTAAGAGATTCGTCTTCATCTACAATTTCACGCATACTTACATCAGAATTTTCTTCTGAGTCTGAGCCTGCAAACTTACGCTTACTTTTAGTCAAATCTTTCTTCTTCTGCACTTTTTTGTTTTCTTTATCTAAAGCATTGGCCTTTTTACTTTTCTCTGCAAGAGATTTGTGTTTACCCTTAGTTTCACGTGCACTTACATTAGCATTTTCATCGTCACTTTCGACGGCAGTTGTTAATTTACGCTTATTTTTAGCTAAGACTTCTTCCTTTTCCTGTACTTTACTGTTGTCTTTCTCTATAGCATCTTCATCTGAAACACTGGCTTCCTTACCTTTCTTTGTAAGAGATTTGTGTTCACCTCTAGTTTCACGTGCACTTGCATCAGCATTTTCATCGTCACTTTCGCCGGTAGTTGTTAATTTACGCTTATTTTCAGCTAAGACTTCCTTCTTTTCCTGTACTTTACTGTCGTCTTTCTCTAGAGCATCTTCATCTGAAACATTGGCTTTTTTACTTTTCTCTGTAAGAGATTTGTGTTTACCTCTAGTTTCACGTGCACCTGCATTTTCATCATCACTTTCGACGGCAGTTGCTAATTTACGCTTATTTTTAGCTAAGACTTCTTTCTTTTCCTGTACTATACTGTTGTCCTTCTCTATAGCATCTTCATCTGAAACATTGGCTTTTTTACTTTTTGCTGTAAGAGATTTGTGTTTATCTTCAGTTTCAGACATACTTACATCAGAATTTTCATCTGATGATCCCCTATCTGCATAATTTACACGTTTTAAGGATCTTTTAGATTTAGGCTTTGATTTTTTCCTGTCTCTAAGCTGACGTGATTTTTTCCTGTCTCTAAGCTGACGTATACTTACATTAGAATTATCTTCACTTTCAGAGTTCCTGCCTTTAGTCTCACGCATAGCTATGTCAGAATTATCTTCACTTTCGGAGTCAGAATAATCTTCACTTTTGGAGTCAGAATAATCTTCACTTTCAGATTCAGAATAATCTTCACTTTTGGAGTCAGAATAATCTTCCCTTTCGGAGTCTGAAGTTGTTAACTTACGCTTACTTCTTTGTAGGGCTCCTTTCTTTTTATGCACATTTCTCTTATCTTTCTCTATAGCATCGTTATCTGAAGCATTGGCTTTTTTACTTTTTCCTGTTAGAGATTTGTGCTTGTTTTCAGTTTCACTCATGCTTTCATCAGAATTTCCCTCTGATGTTTCCTTATCTGCATAATTTACCCTTTTTAAAGATCTTTTAGATTTAGGCTTTGATTTTTTCCTGTCTCTAAGCTGACGTACACTTACATCAGAATTATCTTCACTTTCGGAGTCTGAAGTTGTTAACTTACGCTTATTTTTTTTTAGGGTTTCTTTCTTTTTCTGTACCATTCTCTTCTCTTTCTCTATAGCATCGTCATCTGAAGCATTGGCTTTTTTACTTTTTGCTGTTAGAGATTTGTGTTTGTTTTCAGTTTCACTCATGCTTTCATCAGAATTTTCCTCTGATGTTTCCCTATCTGCATAGTTTCCACTTTTTATGGAGCTTATAGATTTAGGTTTTGACGATTTTTTCCTGTCTTTAGTCTGACGTACTCTTACATCAGAATTATCTTCACTTTCAGAGTCTGAAGTTGTTAACTTACGCTTACTTTTTTTTAGGGATTCTTTCTTTTTCTGTACCTTTCTCTTATCTTTCTCTATAGCATCGTCATATGAAGCATTGGCTTTTTTACTTTTTGCTGTTAGAGATTTGTGTTTGTTTTCAGTTTCACTCATGCTTTCATCAGAATTTCCCTCTGATGTTTCCTTATCTGCATAATTTACCCTTTTTAAAGATCTTTTAGATTTAGGCTTTGATTTTTTCCTGTCTCTAAGCTGACGTACACTTACATCAGAATTATCTTCACTTTCGGAGTCTGAAGTTAACTTACGCTTATTTTTTTTTAGGGTTTCTTTCTTTTTCTGTACCGTTCTCTTATCTTTCTCTATAGCATCGTCATCTGAAGCATTGGCTTTTTTACTTTTTTCTGTTAGAGATTTGTGTTTGTTTTCAGTTTCACTCATGCTTTCATCAGAATTTTCCTCTGATGTTTCTCTATCTGCATAATTTCCACTTTTTAAGGATCTTTTAGATTTAGTCTTTGACAATTTTTTCCTGTCTTTAGTCTGACGTACACTTACATCAGAATTATCTTCACTTTCGGAGTCTGAAGTTGTTAACTTACGCTTACTTTTTTTTAGGGCTTCTTTCTTTTTCTGTACCTTTCTCTTATCTTTCTCTATAGCATCGTCATCTGAAGCATTGGTTTTTTTACTTTTTGCTGTTAGAGATTTGTGTTTGTTTTCAGTTTCACTCATGCTTTCATCAGAATTTTCCTCTGATGTTTCCCTATCTGCATAGTTTCCACTTTTTATGGAGTTTATAGATTTAGGCTTTGACGATTTTTTCCTGTCTTTAGTCTGACGTATACTTACGTCAGAATTATCTTCATTTTCGGAGTCTGAAGTTGATAACTTACGCTTATTTTTTCTTGGGGCTTCTTTCATTTTCTGTGCCTTACTGTTATTTTCCTCTGTAGCATCATTGTCTGAAACATTGGCTTTATTTTTCTTAGTAAGAGTTTTTTGTTTGCTTTTAGTTTTACCCATACTAATGTCAGAATTTTAATCTTTCACTAAAACCTTCCTTCTGATATCTTCTTCAACGGAATCTTCATCTGATTCCCTATCTGCATAATTTACAATTTTGGGGATCCCACAATTTTAAATTAACTTCTAGACTTAGGTTTCTCAGACGAAGATTTGGAAGCCATATTGTTCCTTCCAAATCGATGACTTTAAATAATAATTAAAAAAACTGTAAAGCTTTATACGTTGAAAGAAGTTTGCATTAGTCTCTTTTTGTTTATTTACAAATTGTTTAAAGTGTGACAAGCACTGTGTGTTAGCTTATAGCTCTGTGCTTCCATTAATGAAGCTTATGGTTGAGGCTAGATAGCTAGCATAATTTTGCAGTAAAAATTAGTTGTTGTTAATTTACGTCGCACTAGAGCTGCACAATGGGCTATTGGCGACGGTCTGGGAAACATCCCGGAGGATGATCCGAAGACATGCCATCACAATTTTGATCCTCCGCAGAGGGGATGGCACCCCCGCTTGATCGAGGAGTTTCCTTGTCATCAGGATTGGTTCAAAATTACAAATCTACGCAGTTGACTATTAGTAGTCGTCAACCCAAAATTGGGTCAGCTGTTTAACGATGGTTATGAAATAAAAAATTCTAAACTGAAAAGAGGAGGAGATGGAAGGGTTAAAAGCATGGAACCCGTCTTCTCCCCAGAAGACGTATACGAGCGTTGCGATTGCGAATATCAGTAAATGCTGGATTCATAAAAAATATGAAGGATAGTAAAAGTTCTTTACGAGCATTCTGGAATGAGGGACATTCCAGCAGGAGGATCGTTCATATACTATTCTCGATCGTTCGTGTAGGAAAATAAATTCTCCTGGGAGTTCTCTTTTTCTCTTAGGTTTTCCTTTTCCCTCGACAGCAATTAGAGGTGCGTGAACTGCACGCAGAATGATGGCAGCATGTTTTAGTTTTCATTTTGCTGAAAAAACAGATAATTAGAGTAGGAGACATTAATAGCATAAAAATAACATTTTAAATGCATTTGTTTAGTTGATTAAAACAATGTAATGAGCATTTTTAATGAGTTTTTCAAAAGATCTATAAAATTCAACTAATACGTTTAATATGCAAGGAAAACTACATAAAAAATGAAAAAAATTATATCTGAAGGTATATTTTGATATTTGTATTACAAAACAACAATAAGCTACTCAAAAGAATAGGGTATACTTTGTGCTATTCAGACTAAGGCAAAAAAAAGCAGAAATAAAAATACAAAACTGGACATGCTGTAGTTTCAGTTCTATGGATGGTGTTGTTTCCGATGCATTTTAAAGCCATTTGTCTCACAACGTCATCATTATTGTGGTTAGAGATTCTTGCAAACGTGGTATTTGATTACTTATTACTTTTGTTTACAATGCTAACAATACTTGTGTTCACAATTCTAAAAATGCTAACACTAACGTAAGATGGTGCACAGCTTGCCACAAGAACACACAGTAATAAGCAAATGGTAAGAGGACAAATCAGGACTGCCAAAAAAAGCTAGTTATTCAAAATCTAGCAACCATGTCACCTTTTTTTTTTAAACAATATATCTATAAATAACGAAAACGAATTTTCACTTCAGACTCATCAGAATTACTTAATAACATTAATATCTTATGAAATACGGCAGATTTGAGCTCAGAAATGATCTAATTTACTTCTTTTATTGAAAACAAAATTATCTATTTAAAAATATCGCCTCGCAGAATAAGCTGTAGTAAGCAGTTGCAAACTTTCTAACCGGAACTAGAGCAGGTATGGAGCTCGAGATTGTTATTGTTTACATTTATATTGAAAACACCATCCATAAACAAAAATTCTTCTCAGTGTCTAAACAACAAATGAATATCAAATTATGATAGAGATAAGTACAGCGTTGAAAACAATTTAAGGGAGAAACGGTGTTTTTTTTTAAATGTATAAAATTAGTAACGCCTATGGATGGTGTTTTCTACAATAGGGAACGCTGCAAGCTCGGGACTGCCTAAATTTCCGGGTTACTGCTTCAGTTGTATTTTAAGGCCATTTGGCATCATTGTGTTTTGAGATTCTAGCAAACAATGTATTTGATTACTTATTACTTATGTTTACAATGCTAATAATACTTGTGTTTACAATACTAAAAGTTTTAACACTAACGTAAGATGGTGCACAGCTTGCAACACGAACAAACAGTAATAAACAAATGGAAAGAGGCCAAATCAAGACTGCCAAAAAAGCGAGTTATTCAAAATCTAGCAACCATGTCACCTTTTTTAATAATAAATAACAAAATAACTAAAACACATTTTCACTCCAAACTACTCAGAATTACATAATAACATTAATATCTTATGAAAGACGGCAGATTTGAGCTCAGAAATTATCTAATTTATTTCTTTTATTGAAAACAAAATTATCCGTTTGAAAACATCGCCTATCAGAATAACATGTAGTAAGCATCAGCAAACTTTTTAATCGGAACTAGAGTAGGTTCCGAGCTCGAGATTGTTATTGTTTACATTTTTATTGAAAACACCATCCATACTAAAATAAGGCATCAATTGATAGCTAAGTTCTTTTCAGACAGCTCTGGCTTACAATTGCCTGTGACGTCGTTAGGGAGTGGTGCTGTGATCACTGAGTGTAGAGAAACCTTATTTGCTCGTCCAAACATGCAGAATAAGGACATTTTGAAACCTCGTAGCTTAGCCCGTTCCTTTTTTTTTTAATTATTTTCACTTACACCTTGCTTTTTGAATTCCTTATGCATTACTCGTTTCCTTGCACATCATTAGTATGGAAAGTCTTTATCGACTAGAGTCTAGGTGTCCTCAAACTTTTTGTACCTACGAGTAAATACCAGAATATCGGTCAAATGACGGGCACCATTTATTTTTTCAAGATAACTGTATAGTTGGTAGACATAGTAATAATACGCACTACATATATTTGCTCCAAAAAATTTAATTGTAAAAATTAATTTAACATATGAATATAATTAGCATTAATATTCTTGTGTAAAATAAATGATTACTAAATTGCTTGCAAAGCATACGAAATATAAAAATTATTTGTAAAATATATGAAATAACGTCAATGTGATTTTTGGCATAGCGTTTCACTGGCCAGCGCTTCATAATTGGGAGAATATGATGAAATTTCTGCTCACAAGCAATCGTCAAGGGTATTCATCTGTAAATCGTGATCTGTATTTTGATTTTATGATATTCATTGTCGAAAACAATGATTCACACAAGTATGTGGAACCAAAAAACGACTTTATTTTTTATGCTGCTCTTCTTAAGAAAAATTTATTTCTGTTAACTATATTCCAGAATTTCTCATCTGATATAATAGTTTCGAGGATATTGTCGTTCCGAAGATCCAAATTTCTATCTCTAGTTCTTCTCGCCTTACTTGAAGAAATTCTGAAGTGTATGTTGCTATTTCGGTTACGTTTATTTGGTAGGTAAAAGGATTTACAAAAAAGGTGACCATAGAAAAGGTGTTAAATTGTTGAAAGCGCCTTTCAAACTGATCTTGAAACAATTGGAGGTTGTTAACAAATGTTGAAGTCAATTTCACTGTCACCTATCATTGTTTTCGTGTCTGGAAAATGCACAAGAGACTTCATTTGCAAATGTGATATCCCCAAATCTAGCTTAGCTCTGTACGAGTTTATAGCCCCAATCATTCTTGCTACATGTTTGTCCTTTCCCTGCTACCATTTCCCAAGTTTAAATTGTTTAGTTTTTCTATTATGTCTGTTACGAAAGACGAATCTGCTAGCCAAAGAGGATCTCTCAGCTCTAAAAATATTTGATTTTTGGCTACAAGATAATTTTTTATTTCTTCGATTAAATGTATAAATTTATCAAGTACTTTACCTTCACTGAGGCAGCATACTTCAGTATGTAAAATGAGGTCAGCATCATCAGGATTTTGTAACAGAGCGTTAAAAAGTCCATGTTGCAAAGGAGCTGCTCGAATTAAGTTGACTATTTTGGTAATAATTTTCATTACGTATCCAAATGGTAGTACTTGACCGCACAAAACTTAGCTGGTGGATAATGCAGTGATACGACATGAAATCTGGAAATGACCCATCTTTTTTACAGAGAGCACTAAAACCATTCACGTTTCCCGCCATTGTTGGTGCTCCATCAGTGGTTATCGTAAGACAGTTTCTGGAGAAGCAAATTTATTAGACTTGCATATGTTATAAATGTTTTACAAATATCCTCACCAGTTGTCCGTCCTTTCATGGGCAATATTTTTAGTAGCTCTTCATCAATAAATACCATTCTCACCATAACTGTGCTGTGTCTGCTATATATGTGTACTCGTCAAATTGTAGTGAGTGAGTTTGTTTGTGAGTGAATTTGTGAAAGCATGCAATGTGTTGCCATAGATAGAGAGTTCTGCTGTACGCCACCTGTTGCCCATTTCGATCTCCAATACTTGTCTTTGACAGAGTATGATTGAGGATGGGTTTTCTTCATTGATGAGTCGCTATTCAGTCTGGACAGCGACTTGAGACTTTCTCATCTGGAGAGTTGATATCGTACCTCTAACATTGTCAGAAAGGACCAACATGGCGGAAGTGTCTGATAGTCTGGGCAGGCATCATGGCAGATGGGCATACCGACTTCGTGTTTAATAGAGGTACGCTAATAGGTCAACTGTATGGGGATAAGATCTTTGCACCCTATGTGAAACTTTTCCACGAAGCATGCGAACCGAATTCCGTCATTATGGACAGTAACGCCTGTCCACACAAGGCTCAGTTTGTGAATGAATACCACCAGTGGAACATTAAGCTATTGGAGTGCAAGAGTGTGTACGATTGCTATAGGGATTGTTATGGACCCTGTTAAATAGTATAAAACGCCAATTAGAATGTTGTGCAGCTGTTAGAGACGATCATGTACACACGGACATACGATATAATTTTAATTTTATTTTATCCGTCGTTGAACAGCCAATTCAATTCTGGGTTTACGACTACTAATGTTCAACTCCGTAGCCTTGTAGTTTTGAACCTATTCAGAAGACAAGGAAACTCCTGGACCAGTACCCCCAGAGGTTTAGATTTGTTATGGGAACATGGAGGACTTTGCGACTCGACAGATTTAACGTGCATCAGTCACCATTTACTACACGGGGAGTCTTCGGCCAGCGGGGGTCGAGCACACGAACTCTTGGACATGGGCCCAGTGCCCTACCAACCAGGCTATCCCGGCCTTTGACATACGGTATTATTTTTATGTTATAACCGTCGTTGAACAGCCGAT